ATTTATTGAAAACAAGAATAACAGTGGAAGTTTAGTGGAAGACTAACGAGTTGACATTGGTATCTTATCGCATAGAGTCCCAGATGTACCTGGTGGACACTTACAAAAAGCACAATTTTGAGGGTCTTCATAACCACCGTGAAGACAATTCAACTTTTGTTTGCATCGGTCTGCAATGAAAAATGTGTCAGAATAGGGTTAAAAATAAGCGCCATCAATGTTACCAACTTTCTAGGTATTTCAATAAAAAATTGATAACAAAAATGAATTTGCTGTGACTGCTTAATAATTACAGTAACATCGAACTGAATAATACAAGCACGTCCAAAAAAGTTGGGTTTTTATCAAATCGCTTACCACTACAATACATCATGTTCGCCTCCTTGATATCTATGAAAGATAGCTCTTTGCGTTGTCCAATTGTATGTTGAAAACGATGGTCCTTCGTTTCAATAGTTACATACTTATAGTCACTTGTGAAAGCCTAAAATTTATTCGTCAGATATTGTAATACAGTTATCTGCTTTATATTAAGCAATAAAAAACAGCACTTATCTATAACGGTTACAAGCTAAGTTCTAAACCACTGAAAAACTTTGACAAGAATGTCTACTGACTTGAGCAGAAAGTGCACAGTTGTAATATATTCTGGAAGCCGAAACCATATGATTCATGTGAGCGTGTTGTTCAAAACTTATAATTTCTAATGTTGCAACATTACAATTACTGAGTAGTCTATATTATGCAGTCGATAAAAAGTTCGTCAAAGAATTACAAAATTTACTGCTGAGAATTTAATTATTTTTTAATTTTTTCTTTTAAACAATAAAAATTTTTCATATTTCCCTTATCAAATTTGAGCCTAATATAGGAAACAGGAAAGAACATCATCGCAAATAACTCAACAGAAACTCAACCGACAGAACTTTCCTCCCGGTATCTACCTAAACAAAATGTAACTATTCAGAGCTCCCAAGTAAATTAAAGTAAAGCGTTATTCAAACCCTGCAGCTCGTCGTGAATTATGCTGTTTTCGCAACAGTCAATTAAAGAATTTTAAAATGCCTCTGTTTCACAATCTCTTCCATCGTAACATCCACCCGGTGGTGGCAAATAATCTCCAATCTCATTTTAAAAAAGAGTCACTAAACTACCAGTAAAATAGGAAATTCCTTCTATAAAAAACGACTTAGCAACAGAATACCTGTGAATAAGACAACGCAGTCGAGTAAAATTTAGCATCCGAAACAGCAAATGGACTCATATAGCTTTAATTATTCTAAATATCAAGAACTACTTTCAAGCACATTTCATCTTTTACTTCTATGGAATTTATCCCCTTATTATCTGACGCCCATTTAACACATCTTTTGTAATCAGTGAATATAGCTCCACTCTTGAAATCTGCTGCTCTGCGTGCTTTTCCCTTTTGGAAGAAAATCTCAACTGACCTGAGGACCGTAATGCATCACAGAACCAAAGTCATATGGTGTTTTTAACTGATCTATATCGTTACGCCTTGCAAAATTTCCCCTTGTTCCACTTTGAATAAAATCTTCGTTTATGTTGATATACCTGAAAAAAATGTATATAAAATTACCAGCCAAACAAACCCGTCATGACATTTTCCAAAAAATTTTAAATTAGCAGTTTCTTGATAGAAAGAATTAAGAAATAAAGAAAACATAAAAAATAATTAGAACTCAAACACGTAGGATAGCTCACCAGTCACGATCAGGCCTATTCTGTTCATGCCAGAAGCCTAGTGCATGTCCGAGTTCATGCGCCACAATTCCACCCTGTAAATCCACACAAGAAATACAATTTAAACATATTGCATTTTACCTACTTTCCAATTACTTACACTTTCACAGCCGTAGCCAATCGATGCGTACTGACGGCCGCCGATACGTCCAACACTTGAATAACATCTGCAATATTTGAACATAGCTTTTATCTGATGTTTACCAATTCTTTTTTAAAACTTGTTCAAGTTTACCCCAACTCTGGTACATGTACTCGATAAATAAATTCCACTTTCAAATTCAATAAAACAGTTTCTGAGAAACTGCTGTACGAATTTATCACATTGAAATATATTGCTACTTTTTGTTGCAGTAGAAAGTTTAACCGTTGTATTAGAGAAGTAACATCATTCATTTTCATTTATATGAATTAAAATTGCTGCTTGCGAATAGCTCTCACCCGGCTCCTTTAAAGATATAAATATGATCCTTCTCATTCGTCCATTCCCTGAATTTGATGCATGTTTCTACTTCCCATTTCCGCATCCCCTCTTTTACCAGCCTTCGCCATTCATCTAAACTTAGACCTATTCACTAATAGTTCTTGTGATAATTAGTTTTTGTCCTTGACATTGAACAAAAAAATAGCAGTTTCACTTCTTCTTCAGCTATTTCCGATTTTTAAAAAAATACAGTTGGAACTATCTTAAAAGTAAAATTGCTCCCACAATAATTGGTTTATTTTGATTTAAACTTTATTAAAGGCATATAATCTTCCCGATCTTGAGTCTTAAAATATTTTAGAAGCGTCGGTTACGAGAGTTATGAAGGAAGTTTTTGCTACTTATCAAACGGTTAGAAAAAGACTTATAATATCTCTTTTTGTACAATGTTCGGTAGGACAGTACTCGATTAAGATGCTTACCGTCTTTCTCTTTTAAGAAATAATATACAGTTTGATTAGGCCATCTATAAGTATTTCCAATGATTGCTTTTCGTTTCTCTCTTCTTCCTGGAGTTTTCTCTAGAACAAGTGTAAATTTAACTAAACAAAGCCTAAAAAAGGCTCTTTTTTTTAAAGGCAATGATTCAGAAGAAGTATTTCAAAAACTCAGCAGTTCTTGAATTTTTACACAATTCAGATAATTACCGGACTTGAGTCTTGCTGTTATCAATCGATTTAAACAGTAATTTATAAAAAACTGAAAGTGAGATATGATTTAGCTACAAAAATGTTAGGTTGACATATAAATAATGTCCGTTTCCCGTCTTGATTTTATTGTTCACAAGCTCATTTAAGACAGAATTTTCCGTCGAAATAACTACTACGAAAGCCAATACACAGTTCTTATAGAGATATTGACAATTTAGTAACATGAAAGTTAACAAATCCAATTCTAAAAGGCATCCTTGGGCTCTCTTTGCATAACTCATGTAACAATCTTTTCATTATAAACAAACAAACCGAATTTGTTGAAAAGTAGTAAGTAGAAGAAAAAAGATAAAAAAAAACTTGTTCTGATACAATTGTACTCTCAGGTTTCTCTCTTTTTTTCACATTTTCGGCACGCTTATCTTAACGTTACTGTACAGCAAAAATACTTTGAACAACTCTTCAACAATTTGAATTGCCCTCTTTCACTTTTCCCCATCATTTAATTTTAAAATGTACCCTTCTGCCCCTATATTTTTGTCAGAAAAAAGTGCATGTAAACTACTTCAGAAGTGTTTCATCAAGCTAAAATCAAAATCTCTTGCCGGATAAAGATCAAGTCTCGCCATCTTTAAAATTAGGAGTAATGAAGAATTTTTGTCCAATTTTTTCTTTAGATGATACTGATTAACGTTTAGACCACCAGTGAAACCGAACCAAATAGCATAAAGTACCGAAAGACACTGCTCAGTACTGGGTTTTATTTTGTTAGATACGTTAGTCCTCTTGCGTCTTCCATGACAAAAGTACTGGCATACCTTGATTACCACTGCTTTTCTTATTATCAGACAGTACCCACAAATAAAAATCCGGTCAAAAAAAAAGTAACCAAAATGATTTTGAAAGCAAAAAAAAGGGAAGAGAATGTAACCAAAAGCAATAAAATACTCTGTAGACACAAAAGTAGCAAATGGCGCCTGATTGACAAGAAGCAAAAAATGTCATTAAGACATTGGTAAACAAGCATCTAAATAAGGTAAATATTATCAGTCCAAATCTTACCTGACACCCACATGTAGCTCTGGAATACTAAAAAGCAAAGAGTTAATAAGATTTTTTTGGGGAACTACGACTACACTTTTAACACACCACAAGCCACCTGGTTTTGAATACTTTTCTAATTCAGATACATCCTAAAGCAGATAAATTGAAACGGACACTATTTTGTGCCAACCTAGTTTTTACTGTTTTATAAAGGCGTGCTGATCGACTTAATTGTCATACTGTAATCTGTTTGGAATTCCTGAATAACGCGTTTGATCTGAGGCACTGTCAAAACTAAATCAGTCTCAAAAAGATCTTTCAAGATTCGTTTATTAGCAGCATATTCAGTCTGGTCAATATAGTGGTATTGGAGTGGCTGCTGCTAAAATGATATGAAGAAGAAGATTGATAAGTGAATTGAAAAGATGGTACTAAGAAGAGCAAACTGATACTGCAGCTTCTTTAATACAACATATATTTAATTGTATTATAATATATTATAAATTATAACTGTAAACTATAAGAAGAATTTTAGTTCAGCAAATAAGTTGCTAAACAGTATGTACGAGCGAAAACTTTGATTTAAAAAGTCCGAAAAACTTCAGGAATAACCCATGAGACTCATATAAAACCAGTCGCATGCAAAAAACGTTAAATTTTTCTACCATTGAAAAGCTTACTTTTTTAAAAGTTATTTAAAATTTTTTTTTATAAACTACCCTTTAACAGCGAAAAATTATTTATTAAGCATATTTAGACAAGTATAAGCTATAGGTACAATAAAAAATTTTCTACTAGCCGGTAAAACAACTGGTAAACCAGTTATTATGACTTACATTTTCAAAATTGGTGCGCCTTTTCGGTGTTAATGGTAAATTGGCAGACAATTTAAAGAAGCCCTGCAACAGCTGTCGAGCATTTTCCACATCTTCTCGCATACTCCGCTTTCTGACAGGATTTTTTTTTAAATGTTGTAAAAAAGCAACGGACCTTTTATTTACAAACACTACTTGCTCATGCATTTGCACTAAAACAGTGCTTTACACTAAAAATTTTACAAAGTCTCATAACTTGATTTCTTTAAAAAATATAAGTTTCTTATGCCCCAACAAGTAAAGTATATCCAAAAATCCGGTTATGAAAAAAAAAACCACCTTCTAACGACGTAATCATCGACACCGGGCAAAACAAGTTGACAATTTGCGAACATATTTACACAAAAGACCAACACCGCTGCGAAGAGGATCTGAACAGAACACATGTCTGAAAAAAAAAAATAAAAGTCTTGCTGGTCTAAACATCTTATTCTTGCAGAGAGCTTCTGTAACAAACTCTTCTCAAGGTGAGAATTAAAATAAATTTTTTAAAAAGCTTTTTCACCCCATAAGAATACAAAGTACAGATACCATCTTGTCACTTTATCAGCTCAAATAGAAAATTTAATTTTGATAATGACATGAGTCCGAAAATTACAGTTAAAATTTTGAAAAAATTAGCTGAAAATCATTTCTTTTTCTTCCAGTACTCCACCATTCTTTTTAAACACAGAAGACCACAATACAATAGAGTGATATTTAAAAAAATATTTGAAAGAGCTTCCTGTCAAATCTATGTCAAATTCCACATTTTTAGTGAGAATCTTCTCAGAATTTATCAGATAAAAGTAAAAAACCGTATTAATTATAAGTTTCAGTCGTTCAAAAAAAGTTCTCTAGTAAACTTTTGCACAGCACTAAAACTACCATCAAAAACCCTAAAGTCTTAATCCACGAAATTTGTCCATTACCGTAAAAAATTTACAAAGAATTTGGAAGTGCACAAACGAGTTTTTTGTCCCTATAATGACGAACAAGTGAAAGCCACTAATTTCGAATGGTTTTACATTATGACCATTATAATGGCGACTCCAAAATGGACGGTTTTAAAAAACCAATAAACCTAAAAGATTGGCTTGAAGACAACACCGAGACATTGCCTAACTTTACACTTTCTAGAAAAAAATGAGTAAACTTTCAGCTCAGAGCTTGAAAAACAGCATAACTGTCCAAGGTAACCACTGCTGTTCTGAAAGATCGAGGAGGAAATGTGATTTGAAAAGAATTAAGTGAGATTTAAAATGCGTGTTGTAAACTTGAAGAGTTGTATCGGTCCATATCAGCAACTGGTTTATCATCTAACGAAAGGAAAAAAGAGACAACTGTCTTTACCGCTTGAATGCTTGATCAAAGCAGCCTAGGCTCTTGTAAAAAAGCTCGGCCAAACTTGGACTACTTTTACGCCTCATTAATTAATTCAGAGTTTTTCTCGCTTATAAGCCGTAACCAGTTTTGACAGTTTAAAATAAAAAACTGACAATTCGCTTACCACATGTTCCTCTACAGAAATAGAAAAACGTTACAATTTTTGAATCAAATAAATTGATCTTTTTTTCCACACTCATTATTTCACTGAACTTCACAATAAAGCGTTCGGCTGAGCATGACAAAGGATCAGTCGGGTTTACTGCCTCAGCAAACCAAACGCTTTGTTCCTATCACGAATACACAGGTTTCGTGTAACATTTTTACACGATACCATCAACTCAGCTCATATTGGTTCCAATTCAATTATTTCAAAAAGCCTCCTTCTGCCACCTCGATTGAAATGCCTGTTTTCAGCGCTAAAATCCGACCCTCTAGTTTCCACTCCTTGCCCTTCGACTTGAAATAACGGAAAAAATTGCCTGATTTTGTCTGTTCCAATCGCTCTTTTTAACGGCGGATTACTGTTCGAAAATTTAATATCCTCAAACTTCGTAACATTTTCAAAAGTCATCTAACACTTTGCGTTTTTTTGTTTGACAGTACTCCGTAGTCTGATGTACTTTTCACCTCCACCAAATTGGCTTATCAGTCCCTCCCTCCTCTCTCCAATAAAATTTGAATCGTTTCAAAGCGAAAAATTCATGTATTTCAAATGCACCAGTCCAAATATATGGAGGTTTCTTCTAGTGCAGTAAACGATATGTAATACAGTTACCGACTGTCCAAATACATTTCGCTGCCCATCGATTTTTCAAGTTTCTAGTTCAAAACTTTCAGATTTAAAGTTTCTTAACGTCACAGTTATGGAAGAAATTTGGAAGACAGCCTGAAGTACATGGAAAGGCTGAACTTTTTTTTGAAGGCTCATCCAAATTGCTTCAAAATATTCTTATTTCAAATTGCTCATCATCTTTTACAAACTGCAATAAAACAAAAAAAAAAAAAAAAAAACACATCTTACTTCAAAACCCTTCTCAAACCAGATCAACATGTAAAATTCACGATAGCTAGCTGGGTAAAAGAACTTAACAATTATCAAGATGGCAATAAAAAACCTTTAGCCTCCTGTCAAACTGGCTGACGACGGCGCAACAGCAATCTGCCGCTGATAGGATAGTAACCCATCTGTTCGGCCCCATTTTCAAAATTGTTCACCAAAGTAAAACAAGACTCTTAAAACTCGAATTACTATGAAAAATTGCGACAGAGGTCAAAAACCGCTAACAACCGCCTTGCCACAAACAAAATGTAACTGTTAATGAAAAAATCACAATGCAGCAACAAGTTTTATAGCACTTCAATCACACTGAAACTTGTGCATTAGGTGAAGGAAAAACTTTGTTAACCCACTGAAACTATTCTGGGCAGATCACTTTTTCAGAACTTAACTCAAAACTTCTTAAAAACAATGGGAGACGTCCTCCACCACCCCATTTTCCACATTCCAAACAACTATTCATCCTCCAGCCAACCGCAACCTACGCAGTAAAGATCGACGCTGCATTAAGACGCATACTCGGTCAGTAGTGCAGCAAAACAAGACGTACATTTGAATGTATTTTTATCACTTGTGGACTATCAATCCGTCAATCCCCACTCGTTCCATGCCATTTCACTGCTACTAGTATTTTCCACAAAACTCAGATCCAGAGCAAAAGAGTAATATAGCTACCTGCTAACTGTTTCTTTCCCCAATGTCAACACTGTAAGCTTCGATAAAGTACCGTGCTAGAAAAAGCAAAATGACATTATTTATGTACAATAATAAGTATCACAGGTCCCACACAATCTAATAGTAGCAAATTTTCGCAGTCAAAAGAGAAAATTATACAACAGTGCAGACAATAAATTGTGAAATCAGCCGAATCAGCTGTTATACGAATTATTAAGAATAAAAGCAAAAAAAGATAGACAAGATCTACCACCGGTGGATAAAAACAACTAATTAGCATTTCTTTGTCTCGTCGTGCAATCAGGAATAAGGTCGGGTCTAAAACGACCTTCTTCTAAAAGTTGCCTTAGATGATATGCGAACTCACCAAAATCTACCACAGAGAAGCCAGCCATTATCGGTGATCCGCTATCAATTACAACATTGCAGTATCTAGCTTGACCAAACCCTCGGAAAGATCTACAATAAAAATTCACGTATTCCTGAACGAAATTATGAAAATAAACCTGGAATCTTAAATTCAATGGCATTTACTATATGAATATGCACGGAGCATAAAGAACAGGAAATACTGGAAAAAAGCACTCGTACGAGTTACGAACGCAATACAAAACCTGCCAACGATCTACAGCAAAATAAGAAAAGAAAGACATATTACAAACGACGATCTGCTACCAGCGTTCCTCGTCTACACTTAAATAAGTTCAGAACAATTACCCAACAAACGAGGCTAGAAGAAATACCTCCCAATATCGCAAGCCCACCATATTGGCGACAAGGTCATGCCCCAATCTTTTGTCTTAAATAAATCGTTACGGCTCTCTTGCTTCTTGTAATAAACGTAGCAAATATCTCTCACTGGAATCTTTTTATTACCCCATGGGAAGTAGTACAGTTTCAATAACAAGGCCTCTTTTGTAAGCTAAAATGTGAAGCCAATGCATTACGCAAGTAAGGAAATGGAAGTAGTACCACTCCATCGCAATTTGAAAGTCAAACAAATAAATAATTACAAAACCCCAAATAATAAATATATAATTGAAAAAATAAACTATTGAAAAAATGTATAATGTGAAAAACTTTTAAATGACTGTTGTTGAACATACCTTGCAGAACTTATCCTCATAAAGCACATTTAAAGACTTCTGACCTCTGCTTTCATTCGCCATCATCTAGAATTCTGCCGTTACACTTAAATTTGCTTATCTCTAAAGAAAGCTGTCGCATTATAGACTTCTAATGTCCAACGGCTACTCCGTTCAGTTACAATTAATTAAAATAAAACAACACCGCATGATGAGTCAGAGAGTAAGTGACTGCAAATCCCATAGTCCCACTAGACTGTTCCACAACATATTGCAGGGATTAAACGCCATAATTATAATAAAAAACAAAACCAATTCTTTTGTTATGATCATAGTACATAAACAGACGTTTTCACCTCATATTAATTTGAACACTATTGAGTTCCTACACTTTAGCACTTAACAAAAACCATACTTTAAAAAAAAAAAACCCGATAATTTCATCAAGCTCCCCGCACTAAAAAACACAATGAAGCGAAATAACCAAACAATCCAGAAATAACAGACGTAAACAAATCATTGAGGAGGCATTTTATCGAATACATGTTTGTCACTGTCTAACAGTAAGTGCAATATGAATATACAAGAATCAACCTAAGCTAAAAAAGATAAAACAACTAAGAGTGCAGATAAATTTAAAACTTCACAAAAAGATTGAAAAGCATACAAAAGTAAAACAACTAAAACGAAAAATTGTACCTTACTGTCCTGCCATTCACAGGAAAAAATAATAACGAACTGCGCAACAGAACTAAAAAAAACATTATCAAACAATTTTTTCAAAAACAACAAGGAATTTCCTCTTCAGCGCCACTGAGTCCTGGCTTGCTGCCTTCTCGTTTATCTGCCCTGAACTAATTCAGTGTTCTCTGCAAATTTCAATCACGGAAATAAAAAAGTATGAAATGTGCATAACAACCTTTTCGTCTGCGAATACGGGGAATAGCGTCGAGATTAAAATAAAGTATAAAAAATTTAACACAATAAACTTATCTAATAAATTACCACTTTCGACTGGTGCTGAAGAGAACAAAAATTGTTGAAATTAAGTAAGAACAGTCGCCACATATTCATGTGGTGAACCACACAAACAAAAAGTCGATGAGTAAAAGTCACAATGGAAAAAAGATAACATGATCAAAATTTCGAAAAAACTGTTAAACTTCGACAAACAACATCAAAGAACAAATGCCAAAATTTGCTTCAGTCATAAACGGAACAAATTTTGTTCAATGAATTTCAACCAACTAAGCAATCCTACACTAATGAGTAACTAAAGAAGGTACCTAAAAACCTGTAGTCCTAGTACAAAATACCTGCAATCATCCACTGGTTATTTTGCGGCCCTATTTCTCCAATGCTCGCTATGACACCAAGTTAGACTTTGTAAACCCGATTACTATTAACCAAACCACTTATTAAAATTTTAAACAGATCACAATATACCTTTATTGTTCTCATACATCACGCAATGTATGGTATTTACAAAAAACCAGTACCCTTCCAAAAAGCAAAAACTTGTCAAAACGACCTGTCAATAAAATTAATTGACTCAGCATAATTTGTAAAAGGCTTAATAAAAATGGCAAGCCAGGAAATCTTATGGAATCGTTTTACCAACCAGATAATTAATTTTTTATAATGACGAACTTCCAAATGAATGCAAATATATATATGCAAATTCCTCAGCGAGAATAGTACTCATGCGAAACAACTCCGAAACTTCAACGTTTTCCATCTTCAACCTCAAATTCTGTCACTTTCTCTTTCACCGGATATAAATCTGCTATCTGCTTCCACAAATTATACAAGCCATTACCTCCACCGAACTGCTTTTTCCATACAAATTGGTGAATATAAGAAAGAAGCGAACTTCGGTGAGTTCCGTGCCTGGCCTTATGTCCTTGTTTGAACTTTTGCCAAGTCAATTCAATGGCTGTGGTACTTGGCTTCGTTTTTGGATCCCCAAAGCTAATAGCACAACTCTTTTTCAGTTCGTTGAAAGCTGCTGGCAGGTCGTCCGGTCCGTGCCATAAATTGGAAACAACAGTGGTTCCAGGTAAAACAAATTTTTGAATTATGGGAAGAAGAGTTTCTGCACTGCACTGCCCCACTGGAACCATAAAACATATCCCACTTTCTCTCTCAATACCTCCAAATATCCACTGCTCATCCACCTCACGCCCCTTCCCATATTTCCTTCTCGCTATCACGGTCTTGCCGACTTCTACTACTTTGCCTGGACCTCCCACTTTTAAAGGGTTTCTTAAGAAATACTCACAACAGACATCTCTAAAAAAATTCATCCAGTCGACTAAAGTCTTACTACTTATTGTTTTTCTTCCCTCTCTCTGCATCTCTCGTGCAATTTCTTCGTAAGTTACTGTCCTGTCTAAACTCCAGAAGTAAGAGAGTTCAAAGATTTCCTTTGCACTCAAATGAGCTTTTTTGAAAAACGTTCCACTGTAATAACCTAGTTTTTTACTGCACCCTTTTTTGGTGCATCGAAACCTCTTATGAATTTTTCCTCCCTTCACCTTATCAATTCTCATTTTAGTACCACACACACATACCTTGTTACGTGTAATTAGTTTCAAATCTTCAAGCCAAGCGTGAAACTCCTCGTCAGGCAGCTGAAGCTTCCTTAATAATGTCGCAAAATTCATGCCCTTGAGCTGTTCCATAATAGTGGCAAGTGGCTGTTATACGACGTTAGTAATCAAAAATTTCCAACCATTACAAGTAACTGCTGTTCCTCGGCTTTATTTTGTACCTAAATCTACAAGAAACAGTGAAAGGATTCAAATGTTATTCAAACGTACACGCACTTACAGTCAAACTAAGGAACAGCACCTTAATGAT